AGGAATGTTATTCCCCCGCTTCAGCAAGGCAGCAGTGACAGTTGTTATTGTTACTATGCCAACGTCTTTGTAAACTGTAGAGCCCCGTTAAATGTGAGGCAAAACACTGCCATCGGAAGTTCTCCTTTTTTAAACACAATGCTTCGAAACTTAGAGAAAACAGCATGAAGCAGGCCCAGGAGATGGAACAAACTCTCCAAGCAATAAATCCAATGCTTTTCTGCTTTTCTCATTGAGCAAGCATTTGCTGTTAGCCCGAGTCGGCTGAAACTGGGAAATGGAGATGAAGATTTGCCAGCTGCCCATGGGCAGGAGGAGGAGGCCAGGCAGGGGCTGCCACGAAGGAAAGTGCTGGCCCCCTCTGCCTGGGGGGTGTTGGAGGCCCAATTCATTCTGGTTCTAGATGCTTCCTGCTGCTTGGGAGGGATTAGAGACAGGAAATGCCAGCCCCTCACCTGCAAAGAGACAAGGTGGCACAGGCCAATCAGCTGTTCCCCAGAGGCAGCTGTGCCCGCTGCTATTCCCCACACTGTGTCTGGCACCCCAAGTCTGGACAGCTCACATTCCACTCACTAGCCCAGGACAGTTGAATTTTGTTTTTGAAACAGGGTCTCATGTATCCTAGGCTGGCCTTGAACTCCCTATGTAGTCGAGAATGGCCTCTGACTCAACAGGTCCATGATGTTCCCAGTATGTTGTAGAGCAGAACCTGGGACAGTAAGTACCAGCTGCCCATCTGACTTTAACTCATGGAAGGCCGCAGATGTCAAACTGATGTCAGCTATCTCCATTTTCCTGTCTACTCTGGCAGTAGGGTGTGTGTTTGAGGGGCAGAGGGCTTGAACATGGGTTATATAATGGTAAACTCTTAGATCAGACATTCAATGACCAGGGACAACCAGGTGGTCCTCAGCCCTGTCCAGCGATGCCCACAACCACTAGAGGTGTGGCCAGCACAGTGTTTTTTTGTTCAAAGGCCCCAGGAAGCTGGTGGGCAGTGAGATTAGCTAAGCCAGGCCTCTGTTCCAACCAGACTAGAATCAGTGTCTATTTGAGACATCTTTGGGCATCTGCCTTCTTCCTTTGAAGAGTTACACAGGAGCTGCAGGAAAGAAACCTCTCCCCCCTTCCCTGGACACCACAGGAGCCATGCCATGCTCGTCCAGGTCCCCAGTAGAGATCTACCTTCTAGCTAATTAGTTCCAGCCCTGCCTGTGCCTGTGAACCCAGCCGAAGCCATTTGCCACCCCCAGGCACAGTGTCCTGTAGTCACACAAGCCAAAGGCCGATTCTCTTCAGCCCCCTCCAATGACCTCATTGGATCTTGGGGCTTTAGATGCCATTTACAGGCAGCTCAGGAATTAGTAGCCCATGACCTACTTCTGTGTGACCTACAGTCACGCAAAAAGGTGACCCCTAACATTAGCAGTGTGGACCAGCCTGGCAGACTGGACCAACCTGGCTTCTCCCTCAAGATGGCACCACCAGCCAATGAGCTAGAGACCATAGTTGGAACTCAAGAGACATACCGCTTCCTCTCTCCCTCCAACCCACCAGCAAGTGCCAGCTCTGGCTCTAGAACATTCTCTGCAACTTCCAGCCTCTCTCCTGTACCTACACTGGCCCAGCCCACATGATGTTACTCTCAAGGGACAGCTCTGGCTTTTGTGTCCCCCTTTCCCTTCTAATTAGAATGGGGTGATGCAGGCTTTATAACCACAACACTCGAGAAATGGAAGCAGGAGGATCATAAGTTCAAGGTCACCCTCTGCTACATAGCAAGATCCAGGTCATACAAAGAAAAAAAAAGTAGCTTTGCTGATATCATTTACATGCCACAAAAATCTATTCATTTGTTGTGTGTGATTAATATTCTTAGTATATTTATAGTCATTCTGTCATCACCCACATCTAATTTTAAAATACAAAAGAAAAAAGAAAAGAAAAACTGTCCCCATTAGAAGTCACACACACCCTCCCACCCCAGCACATAGCAACCCCTTATCCATTCTATCTCCATGGATCTGCCCACTGTGGGCATTTCCTGTTAATGGACTCCTAACATCTGTGGCCTCTGCATCTGGCTACTTCCCCTAAGGCTTAACTATGCTGTCATATGTATTCAATGGTGAAAATCTAGGTTGTTTCTGCTCTTTGGGCTAGTAGAAGGGTTGTTGTTGTGTCATGTTTTTGGGTTTTTTGTTTGTTTGTTTGTTTTTTGGTTGTTTTTGGTTTATTGGGTTTGGTTTGGTTTTTTCAAGACAGGGTTTCCCTGTGTAGTCCTGGCTGTCCTGGAACTTGTTTTGTAGACCAGGTTGGTCTCTAACTCATAGAGATCCACCTGCCTCTGCTTCCCAAGTGCTGGGAGTAAAGGTGTGGGCCATCACTGCCTGACTTGGTTTGTTTGTTTGAAGTGGCAGCAAGCCATCATAGTACATGCTTGTCATCCCAATTCTCAGGACACTGAAACAAGGTAGTCATAGCAGAAGGCCAGACTGATCTACACAATGAGAGCCTATTTCAAGGGAAAATAACTAGCTTGTGTGTGTGTGTGTGTGTGTGTGTGTGTGTGTGTGTGAGAGAGAGAGAGAGAGAGAGAGAGAGAGAGAGAGAGAGAGAGAGAGACTGTGTGTATGTGTTGCAGAGAGAGACGTGCACAGATAAAAACATGGATGTACCACAGAAAGGCAGGCCAGGACACAGAAACCCTTCCACCCCTGCTTAAAGTGTGGGCAGCCTGGTCAGGCCCCTGTAAGAAGGCTGTGCCCTCCTCAATTCCCACCCCTGCCTGGGCAGCAGAAATCTATGCCCTTAACATAGCAGGGAATCTATGCCTTTAACAAAAACCCAGTGTGATAAATAAAAGGGGCCTGGCAAATCCATCTCCCTCCTTTGTTTCCTGGGAACCTGGCTCATCCGTCTTCTGTCCTGACCTGCACTGTGTTAGCTGTGCTTTCGCGTAGAACAGAATTTGGTTTCCTAATGGCATCTGTTTTGTGTAGGGTGTCCCCAAACATTAGCTATAATGAGTTGGAAGTGGCAGAGTTAGGAGCTTGGGACATCAACACCAGATGTCAGGCCCTGTGAGTCCTCTGAGGATGTGTAGTCAGAGCATAAGGCAAGGCTAGGCCAAGCCCACAGCCCTAGAATGTTCCTGGAAGCCACCTATCCAACAGACATGGGGCATACCCACCTCTGGAAGGCATAAATGGGTGCTGGGAAGACAAGGCTCTGCCTTCTTGGCACTATGGCAACTAGTGACCCAAGTGCTACAGAATATCAGCAACATCAAGTTTTGCTCACTGTCTCGTGTTTTGACCCGGAAGCTCAGCAGTTGTCTAGGGTTGCTGGCTTGTGAGCGCCTCCAGCGTTGGGATGATTATAGGTGGGCCCTACACTGACTTTTTGCATGAGTGCTGGGAATCTGAACTCAGGTCCTCAGGGCTGTGTAGACCACTGAGGACCCAGGTAAACAAAATAAGACAATATTATGATCCAACCAATCCCCATCCAGCACACAATGGCCTGGCCCCCGTTAGTGCTCAGACCCCAGGGGGTTGGGTATGCAGGGTGTGGGGTGGGGTGGGATAGGGTGGGAGTGTCGTGCATGGTGCATGGAAATTGGTGGTGGTCTCCAAAGGCTACGCCTCTTTCCTGTAGCCTGAGTTTTGTCTAGAAATTCATGCCTGATGCTCTCTGGGAAAGAGCAGTCACCTTGGGCCCTTGGAGCCAGATATAATTAAAGGAAGCCTGACAGGAAGCTGGACCCCTGGGGATGGACCGATAGGGAAACATTTCCTCCAATTGCATCCCTGTCCTTGAGCATGCCCAGTGTCCTCCAGAAAAATAAAAAATAAAAAAACCCATTATTCTCCATGTCAGCCAGATCCGGCTGGTACCCACTGGCACTACATACACCACCCGCCAAGGCTATAGTCCCAGCAGCCATTGACTCCTTCTCTCCACAGACCTCAGAAGGGCCTCTGGGACACTCCACACAGGAGGAAACCTTGGCCCTGGGCTGTGAAAGCCTCGGGGCTCACCAGCTGTGTGTGATCAAGAGCAATCTGAAGAAGGGCCCTTCAGCTGGACCATGAGGAGAGGTGGGGGGTTCATCATATGTTGCTTATGCTCCAGATGCCTGAAGGTGCTGCAGAGAACAGGCCAGGTCTGGTCATCATGGTGACCACTGAGCATCAGCCTCGTTTTAATGTATGGCTAAAACCTGGTCAGCCACGTTCCCTTCTGATATTATAAAGTGTGTTTGTGGATAACTGGTTCTGTGAGTGTATGTGTGCATGTGTGTGGGCACGCACAGGCCAGAGGTTGATGTCATGTGCCCTCCTCTATCACTCCACCATATTACTTGGAGCCCACCTGTTCAGCTAGTGTGACTGGCCAGCAAATTCCAGGGATCTTCCCGTCTCTGCCTTCCTATGTTACAGATAGATGTGTTCCGGTACATCTGGCTTTATACGGGTGCTGGGGATCCGAACTCACAGTGGGTTATGCAACAACCCACTGTGCCATCTCCCCAGTTTTTTTTTTTTTAAACCCAATGGGTATCTTAGATCACGATTTCAACAGCATTCTTCAAAAACGACACACACGTTTTTGCAAAAATAACTGACGTCTGGATGGAAGGGAGGAAGGAAGGCAAAGACAGACAAGTTGTGTGTGCAGGGGTGAGAGTGATCATACTTGAAGGCTCGGAAGACAAAGACAGGAGGATGGATCATTGCAAGTTTAAGGCCAGCTTGGGCAACACAGCAAGTTCCAAGCCAGCTTGAGCTACAGAGTAAAAGGATGTCTAAAGCAATTTATTTTATGTATCTTATTTTATTTTTTAGAGAGGTGAGGTAAGGACAGGGACCGTGGGCCGGCTCAAAAGGCGCTTTGCCCTCGGGGCCTCCCTCTTCCCCTGGGCAGAGCCCGGCCGGCAGAGTGGGCCCGGCTGACGCCCTCTCTCCCGGCTCCGCCCCGCGCTGCCCGCGCCGTGCGTTCCCCGGTCCCCGCAGCCGCCGGGAGCCCGGGAGCCGCCGCCATGGCCCGGGCCCGCCCAGCCGCGCGCCGCTCGCACAGCCCGGACCCCGCCGCGCAGCCCTCGCCTCCCCGCAGCCGCGCCCGCGCCCTGACGCTGCTCGGAGCCCTGGTGGCCACAGTGGCCGCCGCCGCCGCTGCCCGGGCCTGCGCGCTCCTCGCCGATGCCAAGGCGGCCGCGCGGCAGGTCGGCGGGGACTGGAGAGGGACGGTGCGCGGGGCTGCTGGGACAGTGGCTGCAGACAGAGGCGCAGAGTGAAGCTCTGCCCCCCACCAGGGAAGGGGACTGGGGAGGCTGGAGGGGACAATGGCCAGGCCAGGGTGTAAAGTAGGACTGGGCCTTTGGAAGGGGTGGGAAGGCACCCACAGTAGACAATGGATGGAGGCGTGGATGTGAGGCAGGGACCAGCAGCGACTGAAAAGGGGACAAGGAACTCTGGGACTGTTGAGCTGGTTATTTGAACAAATGGGCTGGCAAGTATGGAGGGGACTCTGGAAGATGACGCTACTTTATCAGGAAGCAGCTGCACGCTAGGGGACTGGGATGCAGAGGTTGGGGCCTGGCAGCGGCCTGGCAGCTCAACCCCTTCCTCCCAAACAGGAATCGGCATTGAAGGTTCTGGGTACGGATGGTCTCTTTCTCTTTTCCTCGCTGGACACTGACCAGGATATGTACATCAGCCCAGAGGAATTCAAACCCATTGCAGAGAAACTCACAGGTACTGGAGAAGCTGAGCACCCGAGGGCATGCATACCAGGTCGGGTCCCCCCCCCATTCTACCCACCACCACCACTACTTTCTGGCTAGTGGGTGCATGAGCTACTTTGGCACCCAAGCCCATTTCAGTCGTGGTTGTGAATGGTAACACCTGCCCTGCCACATCACCGACGTGTAGCACGTGTAGCAGTTTGTGGAGATTCAGCCTTTACACCTGGCACAGGCCTGGGGTGCTGGACACTGTCCTGTGAGCTAGACTACAGGAGATGGAGACACCCACTTGCCAGGCTAGGAGGCAGAGAACCAGGTTAGACCTGGCCATCCGATTGAGGAGCCCTGCCCTGGCTCACAGGGATGGTGATTCAGACAGGCTGTGTGCAATGGCCAATATGCCTGTAGTCGCCAAACTAGGAGTCACAGCTGCTTGCACTGCTCTTGGTGTGCGAGATTCCTAGCACCTGCCAGCCAGTGGTGCATGGGTGCAATCATTAATTTTCTTAAAATGAAGAACGCTGCCCCCCGCCCCCGGCTGTCAGTGTGTGTGTGTGTGTGTGTGTGTGTGTGTGTGAGAGAGAGAGAGAGAGAGAGAGAGAGAGAGAGAGAGAGGGAGAGAGGGAGGGTGAGAGGGCAACCTTAAGTGTCAGTGCTCTGACGCCTTCCATCATTTGTTTGAGGCAGGGTCTCTCACTGGCCCAGGACTCCTCCACTTATGCCAGGCTGGTGGCCAGTAAGCGGCCAGTGATCCTCTCGTCTCCACCTCCCTCTCATAGTGCTGGGGTTACAGGCGTACACAACTCTGTCTGACTTTTTCTGTGAGGTCTGGAGATCTGAACTCATGCTTGTGAGGCAAGTGAGCCATCTCCCCAGCTGCCACCGTCACACACCCGCCTCCCAGCTTTTGGAGATAGTGGAGGTTGAACATACAGCTTTGCTTATGCTGCTCAAATGTTTTACCACCGAGCTAAGCTGTATAGCCCAGGCAGACCTCTGGCTCAAATGTTCCCTGCCTCAGTATCCCCAGTTCCCTTTTATATTCTCAGACTTATGATCTTAGGTACCCAGTTAGACACCAACTGGTTGTGGAAGTCTGTCAGGGGGTGAGAGGCAAGGAGAAAGAAAGCAATTGCTTTCAGGGGCAGATACACCATAGTACTGTCATGGGCTTGCTAGCTTTCAGGGATGGGGATGAAGGATGGCCACTTGCCGACCCAGGATGCTGTGGTCACTGCTAGAGGAGAACAGTCAGGTGAAAATGCAAATTTTAGAAGATTTATTTATGTGTTTGCATGTATGTCTGCATGTATGTGCACCATGTGCATGAAGTACCTTCCAAGGCCAGAAGAGGGCATCAGATCCCCAGGAGCTGCAGAGAGCAACCAAAGTTCCTAACCACCAAGCCATGTCCAGTCCCATTTTTTTTTTCTTTTGAGGAGGGATTTCAAGACCAGGTTTCTCTGTGTAACAGCCCTAGCTTCCTGGAACTAGCTCTGTAGACCTGGCTGGCCTCGAACTCAACAGAGATCCGCCTGCCTCTGCCTCCCGAGTGCTGGGATAAAGGCGTGCACCACCAACGCCCAGCACAGCCCCATCATTTAATTCTGAAATAGTCTCACTAAGATTCCCAAGATGGGTTTCAGCTCACTCTAAATTCCAGGCTAGTCTTGAACTTTGAAATCTCCTGCCTCAGCTTTTCAAATACCTGGGATTATAGGTCTGTACCACCATACCCAGTTATCTTTGTTTTGTTTTGGGACAGGGTCATTACAACAGTAGCAACAAAGACCTGAGCCAACCAAGGCCCAGTTGTTCTTAATAATTATCACTAAAATCAGTTCGTATACAAGGCGAACTATAAAAACCCTGCATAGCCCTCCCTTCCTTTCTCTGATGCTCAGATTGCTGTTTTAAAATCCTACTGGTGGTAGTCCACACCTGTAATCCCAGCTCTTAGGGGGCAGAGAGGGAACTGTAACACAAATTCAAGGCCAGACTGATCCTCATAGCAAGTACCAGGCCAGCCTAAGACCTTGTCTCAAATAAATAATAACAAAGGTTTTACTTCATTGACTTGCAGATAGCGAAATGACATAAAATTGTTTATATTAGTACATAGCATATGCACATGCACACTCGTGAGCCATAACTCACACCTGGAAGCCAGAGCACAAGTTTTGGAAGTTGGTTCTCTTCCTTGAGGCAGAGCCTCTCTTTTCTTTCTTTTTTTTAAAGACGGTTTCTCTGTGTAGCCCTGGCTCTCCTGAAATTCACTCTGTAGACTAGGCTGGCTTCAAACTCAGATCTGCCTGCCTCTGCCTCCGAGCGCTGGGATTAAAGGCCTGCACCACCACTGGCCTGCTGAGGCTGAGCCTCTCTAGCTTTGTCTGTGTAGCACATGTTCAGGGAAAGGCGTCAGGTCAGGCTTATGTGGTAGGCGCTTTTACTCAAGTCTTGCTAAGCCATCTTGCCAGCCCAGGGCTGCTGTGGGCTTGTGGTTGAAAGGACGGTTTCCTGAGCCTAACCTTGGGGAGTCCACGAACTAGGCAGAGATGGGCTCTGAGCAGCCAGTGTGAAGAGGGAGCCTGGGTAGTCTGGTGACTCTGGTTGGCGGGTGCCAGGCATTGTCTCTGTACCTTCATCAGTCTTGGGAGCCTGTAGGATAGAGCCAGCATGCTCATTCTGTCATAGACAATCATTCTGTCATTGCTTTGGAAGTTAGCTTTCCTCCCCTTAACCCTGCATCGTGGCTCCGTCCACATGGGAAAGATGAGGGATTTTGCATCTCCCTATGGGAGAGCTGAGAGAGGTTATCCAGCCTTAAACTCCTCATGCAGGGAGGCCACGGCCGGCTGCCAGAAGAGCAGGGAGAAACAGGTCAAGTCTCCGCCCAGCGGTGCTCACCCAGTGACATCATAGCCTGTAGCCTGATATGTCTTGCTTCTCTCTTTGCCAAGTTTCCCTTGAATGAGTCCCTCACAATCCTCCCCTACGATCCAGAAGAGGGTCATAACTAATCATGAATTCAGAGTGACACTGGTCTGGCTTTGAGTCCTGACTCCCTCCTTGCCTAGCGTGTGACAGTGGGGAAGTGGCTTCATCTCCCCTGCGCCTGGGCTGTGCTGGAAGGAGGATCGCGTGCACAGTGTTTGTCACCTTGGTGACTGTTAGTTACCAGCCCTGTCCTGAGCCTAGCTCCCTCATCCCAGGCATCCTGAGAGAAGTGAGGCCTGGAGCCCTGGGCAGAGCCTCTCCAGCCACCTCTGTCCCACAGGGTCAGTTCCTGTGGCCAGCTACGAGGAGGAGGAGCTGCACCATGACCCCAGTGAGGAGACTCTTACCATCGAAGCCCGATTCCAGCCTCTGCTCACAGAGACCATGAGCAAGAGCAAAGATGGCTTCCTAGGGGTGAGTCGGGGCACCGGAAGGACCACTGGTGTCAAAACTGCTCCCGAGGACAGGCCTGCGCCCTCTTCCCCTGCCAGGGTCCCCACTACATCCAGGAAGCTGAGCTTGTTTTCCAGTTCGGTCTGGCGGAAGAACAGGAGGGAGGTGCCGGAGCCCCTCTCCACCCAGGGAAGTCTGAGAGAGCTTCCTGGCATGGGTGACCTCTCACAGAGGCTGTCTCCTGGGACAAATGGGTGGGCTGAAGCAAAGAGCTAGAGTCATGGAGCCCTGCTGATGGGCACTGTCTGTCTGTTTCCTGGCCTCATTCCTGGCATGTGGCAGGTGTGTAGTTCTGCATCTGGCAGGGACTGTGGAGGGGACAATCTCCTGCGGGAGAGGAGGGGGGAGATAAACCTGTGTTTGTGCTGCAGCTTCTTTCTAGCTCCAGGCCCTGAGGACACAGTGAGCCCACTGCAGGGTCACTCCCCCCTTGCTGGCTGTCACCTCTCCTATCAGATCCTCCGGGTTCCTTCCTAATCACTGGGTCCGCATCTCTCCTCCTCGTTTGCCCTTCTTTCTGCCACGAGCAGCGAGCGGTCCCTCTGTGCCCAACCTGTACCAGCTCAGCCACGCCCCACTTCTGCGTGAGCTAGAGCCTGTGGCAAAAGGTGGCAGAAGGCCAGAGGGCAGGCGTGGCTGGCCCAGGGCCTGTGAGTGGCATGCTGGCCAATGGGACATGGAGAGAGGAGCCTACAGCAAAGGGCCTGGGGGGTTGGCCGCGAAGTCAGTTTTGTGCTCTCCAGGCTAGGGGTGGGGGAGCAAGCAGACCAGTTCCTGGAGTGGGTAGAGGCAGGGGGATGGATGGAGGGAACAGCCTGGAGGATGCAGAAGGGAAAAGAGCAGAGTGTGGCTGCTGATGCAAAGCCGGGAGCAGAGCAGGTGACTCAAACTCCTGGCTCAGGACTAGTGCTCGGTGTGCTGATGAGAGAGAGAAAGAGAGAGGGGGGAGAGGGAGAGAGACAGAGAGGGAGGGAGGGGGAGAGGGAGGGAGGGAGGGAGAGACTATCACCACTTAGGACACCGCACATTGGGGGGGGGAGTTCTGTGAGTGGAAACATAGTTTCAGCTTTCTGTGGGAGACTGGAGTGGAGGAGGGGTCAGTAGTGATAGCCCTGCCTGGCAGGTAGCTCCCAGGGTGGTGGCAAAGGTGGTGGGGATAGGAACCAAGGGGGTCTTGTGTCCTCAGGGAGGTAAGGCAGTGCCCCAACCCCACCACAGCGCAGAGCCCTCCTCTGGCGCCATGCCCTGCAGGGTTGGCAGGCAGGCAGCTCAGCCTGGCCCTCCTTTGAGAGCCTGCCTCTTTGGTTCTTCTGGATGGAAGCTCCATGGACCAGTCTCCTCCTCGTCGTCCTCTTCCTCCTCCCTCTCCTCCCTCCTCCTCCTTCCTAGCCTGGCTCTTGCCTCTGTGGAGGGTAGAGGGAGTGAGGAGCCTGCTGCCCAGCAAGGATTGGTAGTTTCCCGGTGGTCCAGATCCCCCAGGGGAGGGTGGTGGCCCTCCTGCCCTGGTAATGATGTTTCAAGGGCACAACACCTGCCTGTACCCACAGGACCATGGAGGGAGTACAGAAGGGTGTACATGAAGGAGGGCTCACATACCTCCAGGGTCCGGCCTCTGAGCTGGGTGGCACATGTGGCTGCTGACTGAGCGCTCTGCCCACACACTTTGCACAGGGAGGAAACGGTGTGGGAAGGTCTTGCTCAGGGTCCCAACATGATGGAGCAGGTGACTGGAGGCAGGGTTTTTCTGGAGAGTGACCTAGCTTCCGTTTCCCCCGGTTTTGCTCGTAACTCTGGAGTTTTCTGGATTTTTCATTTCTCTCCATCATCACACTCAACGGCAAACCCAAACTCTTGTCTGCTGTGGTTGCAGGGAAAGCAAGCCTGCCTGAGGGAGTCAGATAGCCTGGGGCAGGCAGGGCCTGGCACCCTGGGGCAGGGCCTGGCCCCTGACACTGGTTGAAGGCTTATGCAGAGGATGGGAACTTTGTGAAGCCATAGCTCAACCACCCTGGTCTAGGCCACTTTGTACCTCCAACTACTCAGCTACCTGCCCTGAGCAAGCTGCCCTGGCCTAGCCTGAACCTGGGAAGCCGCTGAAGCTGGAGCAGGGTGTGTGTGAGATAAGCCTCTCTGTGGCAGGACAGTGCTGAGATTATGGCCATCTCTGAGGCATGACCTTCCCCATGCTCCCTCTGCTGTCCCAGCCTATGGTCTGGGTGGGCTTGAGAGACATAAACAGGGCATCCTTAGAGCACTGGTGTCCCTGTCCCCAGGTGTCTCGCCTGGCTCTGGCAGGCCTCCGCAACTGGACGACTGCAGCCTCACCAACTGCAGTGTTTGCTGCCCGCCACTTCCGGCCCTTCCTGCCCCCTCCAGGTCAGGAGCTGGGCCAGCCCTGGTGGATTATCCCTGGAGAGCTGAGTGTCTTCACGGGCTATCTGTCCAACAACCGCTTCTACCCGCCGCCGCCCAAGGACAAGGAGGTAAGGACAATGCAAGATGAGGCCTCCACCTGGCCCCAGCTCAGGAGTGGCCTTTCCTATCTGAACCTAGACCCAAGTACCGTGCATCCCTCCCCTCAGTCTCCCTCCCTCTGGGCCTCAGCTTACAGATCTAGGCCCCAGGGTCTAACAAGCCAGCCAGGATCTCACTGTTATCCCTAGGTCATCATCCATCGTCTACTAAGCATGTTTCACCCACGCCCCTTCGTGAAGACTCGCTTTGCCCCTCAGGGCACCGTGGCCTGCCTAACTGCCATCAGTGACTCCTACTATACTGTGATGTTCCGGTGAGTGTCACAATACTTGGAAAGGTAGAAGAAGGCCTAGCCATTGACCCCAAAGTTTACCACCTCTCTCCTTGTGGGCTCAGGCTCTCTGAACCCTGGTTTCCTCCTCGGTGGGTCAGGGGAGTGATGACTTCCTCAGAGGGCATACAGTTTGGTGAGAGGTGTCTGGAACTTGGCTTAGCCCTGAACTGGAACTGTTTGGTGGCAAGGGTAGTATCATTCACACAGAGGGTAGATATGGGACATGCGTGTGCACGCTCATGTGCATAGACACACGCGCATAGACACACACATTTGTGTGCGCGCACACACATGTGTACCCATCCTGGAAAAGGGCATTGACATTGAGGGGAGAGAATCAGGGCAAGGCTTCCAAGAAAGGCAGCACAGAGATTGAGCCTTCAAGAGTAGTGGCATTTGAAATGTATCCTGCCTTCTTCCTGCCCCTGACCCCACAGGAGTTTGGCTAAGGCTCCATAAGCCCTGGGGGAGGGGTGTTGGGGGAGGGTCCAGGCTTAGCAAGCCCATTCCCCACAGGATCCACGCCGAGTTCCAGCTCAGTGAGCCTCCTGATTTCCCCTTCTGGTTCTCACCGGGCCAGTTCACTGGCCATATCGTCCTGTCCAAAGATGCTACACACATTCGTGACTTCCGGCTCTTCGTGCCCAATCACAGGTAGGAGCTGGCTCCAGCACAGCCTCAGCACCCTACTACTGCAGCTGCCATCCTGTTCCCTGAGCTCAGACAGCAAGGGGCCCAGAGACCCTCCAGCCCCTGTCATTTCGCTCGCTTTTCAGCACCACCACTTCCGGGGTGGGGGAGGGAACGGGAAGGGGAAGGCGGGTGGGAGTACTTGCTGACCAAGAAGAGGCAGCATGAGGTAGCTAAGTGGCCCCACTATCTACTCACGGACATCTCCAGGAACGCCTCCCACCTCTGTGGGAAGCTAACAGTTTGCAGATGGAGGCCCTTGAGCCCAACAAGCCAGCCGGCGTCTTCACTGTCCCATAGTGGACAGTAGAGCCACCCTGAGGCTCCCTGTCCTCCTAAGACAGGCCAACCTAACCTACTTGTGCCGCTGAGGGGAAGGTCGGCAGCTGGACAGTGCCTAGGGGAGTCCAGGAAGGCTTCCCAGAGAGGGGACATCTAGTTCAGGCCCTTGGGGAGCACAGGAAGTGGCACATGGAGAGGCCTGAGGGAAGGGGTGACCAGAGTCTTGGTGGGACTTCTGGGACAGCTCTGTGCCAGCTATCTGCCTCATCAGAGGACTTGAGTTGGGTAGTGTGGAGGGTGGGGATGGCTTCAGTAGCATTTTCCTGGGTAGCAAGCAAGCTTTAGCAGGCCCGTGAGAACCTGGGCAAGGCTGAGACCGGAGCTAGGAGTCCTGAGGCCCCAATTCAAAGCTTGTTCTTGGTAGCAATGGGCTGTGTGGCTGTGGGCAAGGCCCTGGCTTCTCTGGGCCCTAATTTCCTCACCTTCCAGACAGAAGACTGACTGCTGGCATGTTTCACCCATGGAGCAGGGGTAACCATGGTTGGGAGAGCCTGAACCCACTGTGAGAAAGAGGCAGGACAGGGACACAGTAGTACACCTACCCTCATGAGTTTTGCCCAGTGGGGTGTGGCTGGCCTCAGTGTTCCTGTTTCAGTGTCCTGGACTGAATAACACAGGCAGGAGCTATTGCTTCCAGGCCTCAGGGACAGCTCTGAGGGTATTCAGTCACTTTCACAAGAACTATTGCTTAACAGCGGTCCTGGGGCTCCCCCGTGTGGCTGACCTTCAGATTGCACCACCAAGCCAGACTGCTGTCTTCTGCAGGAAGAGCCAGCCTGAGAGGTTCTTCCAGGGACCTCAGTACCAACGTGGTTCTTACTGCTGCCTCATTCTGTGTCCTGAAGTGATGCAGTGGCCACCTCTCTGCTGCATAGGGTTGTGAGCAGTGTATGGGTCACACTATGAAACCCCTTGTGTACTGCTAGGCCTGACCCAGACTCTGCTGTCAAAAATCCCAGTGATATCTGTGGAGTCTCGATGTCTCCATCTCTTAATAGGACATCTGCTTGCATTAAATTAGATGGCACCAGCTGGACAGTGGTGATGCACACCTTTAACCTCAGCACTCAGGAGGCAGAGGCAGACAAATCTCTATGAGTTCCAGGCCAGCCTGGTCTCCAAAAACAAAACAAACAAAATTAGATGACAGCTGATGTTTGACTAATGGGCTTGGATGGTGATGTTCTTTTACCCTCGTCATCCTCAGGTCCCTGAATGTTGACATGGAGTGGCTGTATGGGGCCAGTGAGACCAGCAACATGGAGGTGGACATTGGCTACATACCCCAGGTGAACACTCAGGTGCCCCCACCCACGTAATATCCAGTAGCAAGGCCTTTCCCTGAGCCCCATCTCCCCACTTCTGCAGAGCAGACCACCCCTGAAGGTTTCTCAGGGCCCCTCTCTGAGACACCCATCACCACTGTCTTCTGGCCCAGATGGAGCTGGAAGCCATGGGCCCCTCAGTGCCCTCTGTGATCCTGGATGAGGATGGCAACATGATTGACAGCCGCCTGCCCTCGGGAGAACCTCTCCAGTTTGTATTTGAAGAGATCAAGTGGCACCAGGAGCTGAGCTGGGAGGAAGCTGCCAGGCGCCTAGAGGTGGCCATGTACCCCTTCAAGAAGGTGAGACTGGGCATGAAGACCAGGGCAAGGCTCCAAGAAGACCAAGGCTTGGAGCTTTGGTCTAGCTATGGGCACTTTGCTGGACCCTTGGGGTTCAAGGCCAGCTTAGGAGTCAGACTCCTGTCTGCTCCTCTAAACTTGGAGAAGGGTCGCATGTCTCAGCTGTGCCCCTACACACTCACACACGCACACACACGCACGCACACGCATGGATAAATATGTGCTGCACATTCACAACCCCGAATGGGACCCCAGCCCCTCAGCGGTTTCTCTCTTGGTTTGACCACAGGTCAACTACCTGCCATTCACGGAGGCCTTTGACAGGGCCAAGGCTGAGAACAAACTTGTGCATTCCATCTTGCTGTGGGGAGCCCTGGATGACCAGTCCTGCTGAGGTGAGGGAACCCCCTGGTCAGTTCTAAGGGAAAGTGGGGAACTTTGTACCCAAATGGAATTGGGCACAAGAGGCTCTGGTACAACCAGGACATGGAGCCATGAGGACCTGGGCCACCTAGAACCGGATCCCAAGGAGGTTTGCTGTGCTTGGGCTGTGCCTAGAAAATGATGCCAGGCAGACATGTTCATATTCAACCTTTTTAGTTTAGTGACCTTGACCAAGCAACTTCCCCTCAAGCCTATAAATCTTGAGTAAATGGGCAGAGTGTACCGACTCCCAAGTCGTGACATTGGGTGTCAGTGTGTCTTGTACTCACTCACTCTGAGTGAGACGAAACAGTGCCAGAAGCTAGGCTTGGGTTTCTTCTGGAAAGTTCTCTGGGTGTCCAACAGTTAGTTCAAAATGGATTAACAGAAGTGAAGTGCGGTGGGGGCAGTTGGACGACTTCTTAGAGAAAGTGACTTTTAAACTGAGACTCTGAGCAATGAATAGAGACTTAGTCACATGACAGGGGAAGAGGGTTTGGGGTAGAGAGTGCCTGTGTAAAGGCCCTAGGGACAGAGTAAGTGGGATTGAGAAGTTGGTGCTGCTAACAAGCTCCCAGCGCAGCCCACGGTGCCAGTGGGTTCCTGTGGTTCCCTCTTCATTTAGCATCTACTCCTTGGGGTCTGCTCTTAGCTTCTTAGCTGTATCACTTCTTGAGACAAAGTCTCAGTAGCCCAAGCTAGCCTATAACTCACTCATCATGTAGCCCAGGCTGGCCTTCAATTCATCACCATCCTCCTGCTTCAGCCTCCTGAGTGCTAGGATATGGGTATGTGCCACCACTCCTGGATAGTATCTACTCCTTCCATCTGGGTGCAGAGACATCCTGCAGCCTGCCGGGATTTACCCAAACTGAGGTCATTGCTCTAAAATCGGCGCTACTCACGCTTGGCCTTGCCCTGAACAGGTTCGGGGCGGACTCTCCGGGAGACTGTCCTGGAAAGCCCGCCCATCCTCTCGCTCCTCAATGAGAGCTTCATCAGTACCTGGTCCCTGGTAAAGGAACTGGAAGACTTGCAGGTGAGTGGGGGGTCAGGGAGAGCAGCCTGTGGAGTGTCCCAGGACGGCACTAGGCCCCGGTACCAGGAAGTATCATTGTCCTCACAGATCCAGCAGGAGAACCCATTCCACAGAAAGCTGGCAGGCTTGCATCTGGAGAAGTACAGCTTCCCTGTGGAGATGATGATCTGCCTGCCCAACGGCACTGTGGTAGGTCCTAGGGGACAGGGAGCAGCGGAAAGGGACAGGAGGGGTGGTCTCTGCCTGAGCTGGTCTCAGCTGGTCTGAGGCTGTCACTTCCATCAATGGCTTAGGGATCCTGAGCCAGAGATCCTGGAAGCACTTTGTGGGGAGGTGTGGGGCAGTGGGGGTTGGGGTTGGGAAGGGCAGCAGAGTCAACAAGTCCCCAAGGGAACCTCATCAGTTCAGCAGACAAAACATGGCCCAAGGGAAGGCTCCCTGGACTACTGTAGCCACGGAAGGAGGGTAGAGAGAAATAGAGGAGGATCTGGCCTGAGCCAACATTCCAGAACCTCCTCTCCCTGGGGGCTTCTTAGAGGGCCTGGCATCAGGTCACAACAGCTTTGGAAAATGTGCCCATTTTCAGAGTAGCAGAGCCAGGCTGCAACTCTGAGCAGCTCTGCCCATCTTCAGTATCAATGTGGCCAGAGTGGAAAGACAGGACTATGAGAGGGTGGTGAACTGGCCAGCCTGTAGGGGGCGGTAGCCAGGAGCAGGAGCCCAGGAGCAGGAGCTGGGTGCAGGGGAAAGAAAGGACAGTGTGCTTAAGGCTTCTGCTGGCCCAAGCTCAGGGGAGAAAAACCCCTGGAAGTGTTGGGGAGTAAAGGCCTGGAGGGACAGTCAGCTGGCTCATGCATGTTTCTGGCTCCTACCCTGAGGTCCTGAAGACAAGGAGACAGGGTTTTGGGAGACTCTGACTGGCCTTCATCTCACACCTCCGTTGCTTGGGTTCTTCATCCATGCCTCACACATTTGTTCATTCCCTGCATACACGCTCCACCAAGCTCTGCAGAAAGGCAAGGGCACGATGGCATTCTGACTGGAATAGAGAGACTCTAAGAAATCACCCTGAGCTCTGGGCACTGGGATAGGTGTTCAGGGGTCATGAGAACAGAAGGAAGGCCATTTGTAAGGCATAGTAGAGGAAAGAGTGGTATTGAAGGTGAGTAAGGCGGGGAGGGGAGGTACTCCCTCGGTAGAGGCCTACATGGGAGCTGAGGAAGAGGGGACCAGCCTGGCCTGGGCAGCTCTAGCCAGTGTGACCACCCTCAGCGTGCTAGCCTGTCTGATGTCACCCGAGTGAAGTTCATGGAGGCTGAGATGGTCAGGGCAGACATGACCTCTGGCCTCTCCAGTTCTCCTCACCCAGCCCCTCCCTCAGGTCCACCACATCAACGCCAACTACTTCCTGGATATCACCTCCATGAAGCCTGAAGACATGGACAACAAAGTCTTCAGCTTCTCATCGACCTTTGAGGACCCGTCCACAGCCACGTACATGCAGTTCCTGAGGGAGGGACTCCGGCGTGGCCTGCCCCTCCTCCCGCCCTAGCGTGCTTAATCCTCAAGAAACTGAACCTGGTGAGAGCCTGGCAGACTCTCGCCACACGCTCTGGAGCCACAGGGTCCTCTGTCCACTTCATACTGGAAATGGTCCCCACCTCATTCCCAGGCTGCCCGGAGAGCTCCAAGGCTAAGTGAGGCTGCTCCCTTTGCTTAGCCCGACTGATGGGGGATAAACGAAGGAGCCCGGATGAGTGTGTAAGTGAGCCAAAGGCAACACTCTGGGGTGATCTCCCTGGACCTTCCACATAGTGACACAGTTCAGGGCCTCAGTGTGAAGAATAAGGAGTAGGCTGGAAAGAAAGACTGCCCCTTCTTGCCTGGCTCCCCTCTCAAGCCAAAGAAATCCAAGAGCTTGGGCCTGGGGGGCCAGGCTGCCAGCCCCATGCCTGTTTGGAGCCTTCTATCCTGGCCATCCCCAGCCAGCTTTCTGTGGCCAGTGCCCACAGCTTGGGGTCATTGTCAGCTGGAGACAGCTGTGGGGAGCCTTGCACAGAGCCCTTCTACAGAGGCGGAGACCGTAGTGTCTCCCTGCCAGCCTTCCCAACACTTCATGGACCTGAGGACCCCAGCCCAGTCCTGTTGGGAAGTTGGAGAAGTTCACTGTGAAGTAGGTTGTACTTCAGCAATGGGGTTCTGGGGGGGGGGGTTCTACTGCCTGCTCCAGTACAGGTTCATGATGTGACTGTTGGAGCCAGTGTCCCCAGCACACCTCCTACCCTGCCCTCTACTCCACACAAGTGTAGCCCAGCCAAAGAGCACAGCCAGCACTGCCTAGGCCCCCAGGATGCTTTGGACACATTCATTTGCCACTACATCGTCACCAGTTCCCCTTGGCCACACTTAGGGACTTGGTCCACATTCTGAACCACTGACCACAGCCAGTCTTTTTTATGCCCACAGAAAAGTGTTTTTATATGAACTTTCTCATAGTTTATAGGTATTTTTTATAAATCTGAATGCTGAGGAAAAAGAAGGGGACAGTGGCTCCCCCCAGCAGCAGCCGTATGATGGCTGGGTCTGAAATCCCAGGTGGATCCTGCCTGATGTCCTCGCAGTTGCACATGGGGGAAAATGTATCCATCTTCTTTCTCTTCCACGTTTTTTACAAATAGTCTTCCAAGGGTCAGCATTTCCCCAGCTCGGTCCTGCGCTTCACACTCCCAAGAGCTGCCTTCATCTTAACCTCGTTAAGGCCTTCTTTACATCAGCCAGTTCCCTGTGTGCCCAGGTCTTTTCCCTGCCCTGTCTTCAGCCTGGCAGAGGCGGAAGTCAGGTACCCATTCCCTGAGCCCAGCTCCCGCTGTCTGCCACTGGAGTCACAGCCTCTGGGGTGCCCTGCAGAGAGCACCCCATGTTTCTCATCTCGTTCTCACAACAAACCAATGAATTAGAGAATCGCCCCCATTTTCAAGCCAGGATCCCTCAGTACTGGAGTTGGGAGTCAAACCCACGTGTGACTCCAAAGGCTGTATTTGGGGTGGAGAGGGACTTTGCTTGATTCAGCATCCGTGCTGACTTCCCCCCTGCGGTGGCAAGGAAATCCTTTGAAATCATGACTCCCAGGTGCTGGTGCATGCCTTCAGTCCTAGCACTCAGACACAGAGTTCCAGGCCAGCCCTGTTTACAGAGTGAGTTCCAGGACAGGCTCCAAAGCAATACAGAGAACCCTGTCTGAATAAATAAATAAATAAGTCGAAATCATAATTTATGATCTGACCGAACAGAGCAGGTGCCAATAGCTCAGCCGGGTTCTCTGTCTTGGCCGGTGGAGGTATGTGTGTGAGCTTCAAGGTGCCTCTGCTGCCTAGCAGGCATGATGTGTATGTGCCACCCAGCCTCAGAAGGGGTCAGAGTGGACTCCACATGGAGCAATTCTGTTCCTATGTGAAGTACTGATTGCTGGGACTTTTGTGACTTCAATGATGCTTCTGCACATCCCCAGCTGCCATCCTGTCACCCTCTGCCCCCATCCCCAGCATGTCCTGTAATAAAACTGGCGCATCTAAGGAAGCTTGGTGCTTTTCCTTTGAGCAGGATGTTTGGTTTCGTCCTTCCGAGGTCTGACTGCTGTCCCTATTGGGAGATGGGCAAGGATGAACACATTTGAATTGGACTGTCTTTGGAGCCTTGCCTGTCAACAGAGGGCTTGAGTCACATGCCTAAGGTGAGTTTGTCATAGAATGATAAAACATACAATGAACCTGGACCTTTGTGTGGAGAATGGTCCTAAAGTTAAACCCGTTGTCTTCAAAGTGGAGCCCATGACAGGCATTAGGTAGTCACGGGAGGAAAGGCGCCTGTAGGGTGGTAAGATCACTCACTGGGTTAGGGTGCTTGCTACCAAGACAACCTGAGTTCAGGCCCTGACTCCCACGTGGTGGAGAGAGCAATTCCTAGTTATCTTTGTTCTCCACGTGGGCATATATAGCGCTCACACATGGCGAGGAGAGTGTAGGGAGAGGGAAGACCTGTAAAAAGAAGGCTTGAGTCAGAGGAGGGCAAGGGAAACATGCAGCGCCAGAGCGTCAGCCACCGCCTAGCCTTCTGCGGAAAAGGGCTCTGGAACACAAACCAGACGGCAGAGCCAAACCAGCCTTTTGTACTTGAATCACTTTGACTAGTGTGGTGAGGGGGATTGATTATAATCATTACATTTCTTATGGGGACCAGTGCAAAATGAAGTACAAAAAAAAAAATGTAAGAAGTATTTAGTCAGGTGCTATACAGTGGCGGGGCTTTGTCAGTGATAGGCTATTTGACAATCCTACAAAGACACTGAAAACTTCTTGTTATCTAGAACTTGAATGGTGCTCCATCTGTGTTTTTTATTTATTTTGTTTTTCGAGATGGGGTTTTTCAGTGGCTTTGGAAGCTGTCCTGGAACTAGCTCTTGTAGACTAGGCTGGTCTCAAATTCACAGAAGCCCGACTGCCTCTGCCTCCCAAGTGCTGGGGTTGCTCACCTGCTTACAATTGTGACACAACTGCCCTGGGATTCAGCACCAGTAGCAGCTGTGCAGGTTTACAGCCTGGAGCAATAGGCTACACCATTTCCTCTAGGTGTGTAGTACATACATTGTTAGGTAGGTGTGTGTACGCACACTCCCTGATGTTTGCATAACTCAGTCACCTAAGGACACATTCCTCAGAGTACCCTTTCTTCAGCAATGCATAACTGTAACTTCAAGGGGACAACAATAGAGAAATAAAGTATACATGGGCGTAGTAAGGCAAGTCTGGGCATAGTGCCCATTGTGACTGCATCAGGCTGTCCACCCACCAAGCCAACAGTTTTGTCCCTGGCAGATGGGGATTACAGGCTTTGGGACCAAGGCAATGCAACTGGTGAGTTAGGCAAAGCCATGTACTGAGGGCAGAAAATGAAGTGTCCCTTTAACTGGATGCCATGGAGACCAGCAGCATGAGCCTGTGAGCTTGGAAGGAGTCTCCGGGTGTCACCAATCCACCCATCTAATCCACAAACTGAATTATGCAGCATGCGTGTGTACGTGTATGCATGTGTGTGAGACAGCGAGCTTTTAAACAGAAGAAAGCTACTCAGAAGCACTGGAGGGTATGCATCGAAGGCGAAAGCATCCATTTTTGCTGGGGGCCGTATCAGGGAACCAATGGGACGAGAGTCGACTAGACAAGAATGGCAGAAACGCCAAGACGAGGATTCGGAGACTTGCAGCAGTGAGGACGACACCAACCACAGTAGGTGCTGAACTGCAACACGGGCGGACCACCGTTGCCCAGAAATTTGTAGAGTACAAATGCGGCCCGCAACACGGAAGCAAAGTCCAGCGAACCGCTCAGCGCCCCAGGAACAACCCGCTACGGGGCGTGGCCTACGGGGGCGTGGCCTCCCGGGTGTGCCGTCCACTCAGAGGCCGCGTCCGCTCCGGCCCCTTGTTAAGCCCGCCTCTCCTGGGCGTGCGGCAGGATACGCAGTTGCGAACGATTGCTTCCGGAGGCGGGTCAGCGGAAGTGACGTTCGAGGCTCGGCCGCCTGCCGGAGTAGGAGGGGCTGAGGTGAGTCCGGAGCTTGAGTCTGAGGTGAGCCCATCGCGGGGCGCTGCGGCCAGCAGGCGCGGTGGGCGCCGCCGGTCCGCCGCCAGCGCCTCCGTCCCGGCGCAGGGGGAGCGCGTGATTGCTATTCTCGTGCGAGTTCTCGCGGGAGGCGCCGCTGTCTGCCCCCTCCCCCGGCGGGGACACGAGTCCCGAGGCGTAGTTGCCCGCCAAGTCACCCAGCCGTTGGGGTCTACCCAGCCGTTAAGGTTGCGACCCCAGGCTTCGCGCCCCGGCCGCGTGGCCTCTGTAGGACCTGCGCCGGCCTGGAGGCACCGACCCGGCCCGTGGGTCCAAGGGCCACGGACACGCCGTGGGGACTTGGCCGACCTTGGCCTTGACCGGCTCGCCTTCGCGGGGGCGGGGGGCGCGCCGTTGGGGACGCGAGGCGTTACCTGGGCTGGCCGTGGGCCCCTCGCGCAGTGGGCGCGGGTGTCCGCCGGGCGCCGCCGGGCAAAGTTCCTCCCTGGCCCGGGACCGCCGGGACCGCCGGGTCGGGGCCCTCCTTGTAGCGGAACGGGTCCGCCGAGAGAGACGGCGCCTACACTGCCACCGTGGAAGGGGCTGCGGCCGCGCCGAGGTGCGAAGACCCGGGGCTGCCGAGCGGATAGCGGGCACGCGGGGGGCGGGGCCTCGGAGCTAAGTTGCTGTCGACTACGGCGGTTTCTTAAAGCTGAGCGCTTGCGGTGCCTGGCAAAGGCCCTGCTGTGGCCGATCGGTTGCTTCGTTTCTGTCTTGAGCAGCCTGGGAAGGCAACCCAGGCGGCTACGAATGATCTGAGGACCCGGCGTGATGCATGAGCAGAATGCTGAGAGACTGGGATGAACCGGATAAGGTTCTGCTGGGTCTCACGGAGGCAATGGTGTGGACTGGGACTCAGGAGGCGTGTTGGGAGCTGATAGCCAGGTAGCAAGCAGTGTGGCCCAGAGCAGAGGACTAGGGAGGGCGTGTGGCACCAAAACGTGCACTGACAGTATTAGAGTTTGGCACCAAAACGTGCCCTGACAGTATTGGTTTGGAGAGAGCCGGATGATGGGGTCCGGGCTATTTGGTAGGCCCTGCTGGCAGGAGGGCTGTACAGTTTAGAGAGAGCTGAAAGGTTTATTAAACACCAGAGCAGTAGAAAGAGCAGTTTGTTAAAAAGTCTGCCTTTGCCTGAGGATTAGATTCAGCTGGAGTCTCTGGAGCACAGTTAGATGGTATTCAGCAAGAAGTCTAGCACACAGGGACTTTGCAGGCTTCAACAGCACTGCATGTATGTACCAGAACCTAGCCCAGACTCTGGGCACTGTCTTCTGTACAGCTACTGAGTGACTGGCCAGGCAAGTCCTTTCTTTTCTCCGTGTGTATAAGGTGACAACTTTGCCAAGGTAGAAGAGGAACTCCAGGTCTCCCTTAAGTGATACTGCTTGTCAAATTCAGCTCATCCCCGTTCAGCACCAGACCTGGGTCCCCTAGGGACTTCTCACCCAGGCATTGCAAGCCCTCATGACAAGACCCTTGGTCTACCTTTTGCATTGGCTTAGGATACTGTCATATTTTACAGGTCGCTCTCCAAAATCGACATGGGGTCTTCTTGGACTGAAATCGACTCATGCACACCTGCCTAGTACACCTCTTAATGATGCCCAGCTTTACTTAGAAAAATGTGTATTCTTGGTGTTTGACAGACATAAGGCTCACCGATTGAAAGCATGCGAGGGCAGCTGTGAAGAATGCAGTCGGGAGTACTGCTTTGTGTGTTAACCTTAGAAATGAGTTTTTATAATAATACTCATGAGTAACTCCGTTTTAAATTTTATTAAGCACTTCACCCACCTACCCCAATTTCACTGACCTTTAGGGTAGCCTAGAGTGGCACTTTTCCTCTTTGTTTGAGACAGGGTTTCTCTGTGTAACAACTCTGGCTGTCCTGGAACTTGCCCTGTAGACCCAGCTGGCCTCCCAAGTACTGGGACTAAAGGTGTGTGCCACTGCCCAGCAGATGAAGCAGATGAAGAAACCAGCATTCAAAAATATTGAGACACAGCCATAAAAGACTAAGCCAGAAAAACAAAACAAACAAACAAACAAAAAAAAAAAAAAAACAGCTCTTGGGGCTGGAGGTGTGGTTCTGTGACAGAATGTTTGCAGTTGTGGGTAGGGTAATGAATTACAGTCACTTAAATCTCTTTTCTCTGTAGCCCAGTAGACTGAAATTAGCATGAGTTGGCTGTTGATTCTTTCTTACCCACTTGCATTTTCAAGAATAAATGTTTGGGCTTGGATGGTACTGAGTTTTGCTTTCCTTTGAGCTTTGTAACTACCAAAGGGTTCTAGCTGCATCTTTGAGGCTTTGCCTCAGTTCACCTTAGAGCCTGGAGGTTTCCCTGGGTTGGCTAAGCTTTCTAAGCAAATCTGGGTTTAGAAAAGCCAGTGATAAGTAAGGGCAGCCCTTAGGCTAGTTTTTTCCTTTACACATTGGAGATGGTTTTAGCAATGGCTGTGCAGAGGTTCGTTTAGAGGTTTGTTTTGTGATCACCAAGTCCCTACTCTCTGGTGTTTGTTTCACAGGAAAGATCTCATGCTAGGAATGGCCTGATATGAAGGAGTCATACCTCCAGCTTTCCCAAGCTGTCCTGTGGGTGCCTTGTCCTTCAAGTGCAGGAGCTGGCTGAACTTTCAGGCATGGAAGCCAATATGGTAAGTAGTCCCAGGGCAGGGGGCTAGAGAGCAGAGTACTGAACGTGCTGAAGAACTATACAGGGTCCTGAGATGCCAGTCCATCTTTATTTTCACTGAAGCCCTGGGATTGGAGCAACTGTCACCCTACTTCCTTTTTGGTGCTTCGTGAGTCCATGCTTTTACTTTTTTGTGCAAAAGAACATGAGGGAACCAGAACAGTCCATACCCACAGCTAATTCTGGTTCCTTCTCTGGACCCTCCCAACCACTGACTTTAGCAGCATCAAGTGTAGAAACCAGCCCTTACAATTGCCTTGACTCACTCTGAGGTTTTTGGATCATCCATCTCTTCTCTAGACTATCCCAATCTGGCAAAACAAGCCACATGGGGCTGCTCGAAGTGTAGTAAGAAGAATTGGGACCAATCTACCCCTGAAACCTTGTCCCCGGGCGTCCTTTGAGGTGAGTGTACTGGAAGGGTAAGGAAAATAAAGGCTCAGAATAAAGAAGGTGGATGCTGCTTCTGTGCAGAAGACATCTTGTTAGTTGCCAACGCTTTAGCCCACTGGTCCCTTTCATTTCCTAAGTGCTTATATAATATGATCCTGGTCATTGTGCCTTTCTGATTGTGTACAGACATGTGACCATAACAATCAGACTTCCAGCTTGCTCATAAATTGATAATCTTTCATCTTATCTTTTGTTGTTGCTAAGTGACTCAGATTTTATAAGCTTGCAGCAATGCATTTTATCAAAGCAGGCCAGAAAGGCTTTGCTAAACCAAACCTCCAGATGATTTATATCAGAGCTGAGGCATTTGTGCCCTGGCAGGTCTATGTGAGTGCTGTGACTCTTTGAGTAGACCTGCTTTTCTCACCAGCCCTATGAGTGGGCCACTTAGACTCTATTTTTAGTGTTTCTCTGTGGCCTCAAATCCCCATCCTCCTTTTTCTGTCCAAATATGGCCACTGTATTACTGGCTGTTTGACAGGCTGACTTGTGTCTATAGAGGAGATTCCTGTCTGGTCTAGGTCTCTGAGACTTCTGTAGTAGAAAATGAAATAATGTTTATTAGAGCCAAATGTCTCCATTAAAAACTCCTGGTGATGCTGGGTGGTGGTGGTATGCTGCCTTTAATCCCAGCACTTGTAGAGACAGGCCCTGTCTACACCATTAGTTCCAGGACAGCTAGAGCTACACAGAAACCTGGTCTCAGAGGGAAAACAACTCCCAGTGACACATCAGCTCTGTGTTAAATGGCTAAGGTGGTGAGTATAGGAAACAGACATGAATGCATTATGGCACAGAGGAGGTAAAAACACATGCATGAAAGAATGTGGGCCTAGGGAGAAAAAGCAAAATGTGTGTGTGTGTGTGTGTGTGTGTGTGTGTGTGTGTGTGTGTGTGTGTAATACATACATATATATATATATATATATATATATATATATATATATATATATAAATGATAGCTGCAGTCTGTATAAGAACTGAATCTGGAGTTAGAAGTGAGATCAGAGTTGGTGTTAGGTGGCAGGATTGAAATTAGAAGTGTGTAGTTAAGGGGATAGTTTCTCATTACCAAACACTGCCCAGAACTGTCAAAAGAACATGGGAATGACCTGTGTACTCAGAAGCATCAGAAACAAGGGGAAATAAAGTTGTGTAATGTAACACTGGAAGTTTCCCAACATTTAACTATACCCATTGTCTAGATGCTGCTGAACAAAGACAAGGACACAGGCTCTTCAAGAAGTACATATGAGTACTATTAATGTTTAGTATATGGGGCTGGGGAGATGGCTCAGGAGCTGTTCTTCCAGGGGGCTCTGGTCTGATTCCCATCACCTATATCACGGCTCACAGCTGTCTGTAAATCCATTTCTAGAAGATCTAACACCCTCTTTTTGGCATACGTAGGCACCAAGCATGCACATGGCACACAGGCGTACATGTAGGCAAAACACTCATGCACATTAAGGGCAGGGGGATTCAGGCTAGTCTCCTTAAATTGCCTGATTTGTATCAGTGTTGGATTAGGTGTCCCATTTTGCATTAATCCGATTAGCTCTCATCAGGTTGTATGAATGTTTAATTTTGCTTTCCTATAGACTCTGCCCAACATTTCTGACCTGTGTTTGAGAGATGTACCTCCAGTCCCTACTCTGGCTGACATTGCCTGGATTGCTGCAGATGAAGAGGAAACATATGCTCGAGTCAGGTAGCTGAGGCAGTAGCTGCTCTGCTGGTGGTGAAGAAGTGGCAGTCAGCAAAAAGGGTGTTTATGAGAGGCTGACACCAACAAGAATGAGAACTGGGCTTAAAGGGAAGTAGTAGAACCTATGGAGTGAAGGAATTTAATCAGGGATACAGCTGTAAGACATTTTTCTTTTTCTGGCTCAGGAGCGATACCCGTCCCCTAAGACACACCTGGAAGCCCAGCCCTTTGATTGTCATGCAACGTAATGCCTCAGTGCCCAATCTGCGTGGGTCTGAGGAGAGGCTCCTGGCCCTGAAGAAGCCAGCCCTGCCTGCCCTAAGCCGCACCACTGAGCTGCAGGATGAACTAAGCCACCTGCGAAGTCAGATTGCTAAAATAGTGGCAGCAGATGCAGGTAAGAGCCCCACTGAGCACACAGTACAGCAGGCTGTCCTTTCCCCTGGTTATTGAGCAAGATAAAGATGAGAAAAATTAGTCTCTGATTCAGGAAGACTTAGGCCTAAGGCTCTAAAGTTGACTTGAGACCCAGATATCCTGTAATACACTTTAGAAGATGTCCACTAGTCATTTATTGATTGTTTTGATTAGGAAAAACAATTTTTTAAGTTAACCAGTTAAGTTCCTTCTCTTAGCCACACAAGCTAATACCCCCTTTTCCAACCATCTTTAATATCACATATCCCATTAACCCAAGGAATCCACTTTTCAATATAAGCATCTTACCAGCACCATGAAGACATATCCTCTTAATTACCTATCTCCCTCTCCTTGTCCTTTCTACCAGAGAATACTTCCCTATGCAGCTTTCTGCATACAGTTAAAGCAGAGCCTTAAATTAAAAGAGAGGGGCCTACCTTAACCAGAGGCAGAGACAACCAATAGGTACCTCTCCCCCAAGATGCTCAATGGCTTAAAGACATAGCTCTTAAACTTTATCAGCTAGTAGAGCACATAAAAGTTGTAAAGTGTGGGGCAGTAAGATGGCTCAGCCAGTAAAGGCACTTGCCACCAAGCCTAACTACTTGAGTTCCATCCCTAGGACCCACATGGTAGAGCAAAGATCAGACTTCTGAAAGTTGTTTTCTGACCTACTCTGTCATAAACCTGTACCCACATGCATCCAATAAATACATGCAATTTTTTTTTTAGAAAATTAAGCCATAGAATATGAAAAAATCACCACTATCATTTCTTAAGAATTCTGAAGACATTTGTCTCAATTAAAACTGGGAAGTTTTGTCTAGAACATTTCAAGCTCTTAGAGCAAAATTCAAAATATCAAGTTGAAACACTGTCACATTTGAGAAAATGCCAAGTGTAGGAAATGCAGGCCTTGCTGGCCTCAGTTTAAAATGGCTGCCAGACTATAGCCCACTGTGTATTGGGAGCATGTAGGGGTCCTGAGTTTGTGGGACAGGATTTTCTCTGCCTGCGTGGAGCCCTCAGTGGGAAGTAGAGTAGGGAAGGCTCCCTTGGGGAATTCCACCCTTGGCACTGAGATGTGAGCTTAGGGAATGAATGTGTTCTGTAGACAGTGTTTGTGAGAAGACCATTGCTTCACTGCAGCCCAATGTCCACCATATCTATTGTTTTCTCTTTCAGCTTCGTCTTCATTAACGCCAGATTTCTTATCTCCAGGAAGTTCAAATGTCTCTTCTCCTTTACCTTGCTTTGGATCCTCATTCCACTCTACAACTTCCTTTGTCATTAGTGACATCACTGAGGAGACTGAAGTAGAGGTCCCTGAGCTTCCAACTGTCCCCCTGCTTTGTTCTGCCAGTCCTGAATGTTGCAAACAAGAACACAAAACTACCTGCAGCTCGTCAGAAGAAGATGATTGCATCTCTCTGTCCAAGGCCAGCAGTTTTGCAGACATGATGGGCATCCTGAAGGATTTTCACAGGATAAAACAGAGCCAAGACCTGTGAGTATCTGACAGGAGCTCTAGTGACAGGAGCTCTAGTGATCTTTCAGTCACTCATAGCTAATGAGTGATCCTATCACTGTATTCACCAAGCTTGCTGACTGACTAGGGTCTGGTTTGAGGAAAAAGCAGCAGTAGTAGCTTTTTAGTTTGCATACTTCTAGCTACCATGTTTCAACATGTTCTACCCTTCAGAGTTGGGAGATCTTAACACATACTGGTGTCTCAAACTATTTTTAAATAAAATAGTTTAGGGCCAGAAAGATGGCTTGGTGTTAAGAGCACATACTGCTCTTGAAGAGGACCCAAGTTTGATTCCTGGTACCCATAATACAACCATTTGTAACACAGCTCCAGGGGCTCTCACCCCTGATGTCTGTGGATACCTGTACTCACATGATACTCTGTAATACAAAACCTCCAAGCATTTTGTTTCTGTGTCTAGCCCTGGCTGTCCTGGAACTTGCTCTGTAGATCAGGTTGGCCTTGCACACATCTTTAGTCCCAACACTTGTGGAGTCTGGAGCTGGGACTAAAGGTATGTGCTTCCACACCCAGCTTTTAAGATTCATAATTAGTTCTTACATCTGACTGCCCAGATGTAAAACTGTTCGGATATGGGGTGTTGGTTGATTTTTTGAAACAAAGTCTAGTAAAATTACCAAAGCAGAATGCCCAGAGAATGGAGATGTGGTTGACTTTGCTCAAGCTTAAGAGAATTTGGGCAGGCCTGCAGTTTGAAGCAAGGCCACTCTCTGAGCGTCTTAAGAAGCTTCCTGGCAGATAAGCTCTAGAACTGCCTGAGAGAGCCCGTCCTTGCAGTTTCTCCAAATGTACTCTGAGCCACTCCACAGAGGAGCTTCTTGTTCAGCTTAGTTGGAGGTTGGCCTTGATTGGCAGGTGCCCAGTATAGCTATACTTGTTGATGCTAGGCAAGAAACTATCCTACTCTGGTCTTCCTATCTGGCCCATAAAGGTTCTTTGATTTCTCACTTCCCCAAATTCAGCTGTTGCCTCACCTTGTTTTTGGTCAGCCTCAAGTCCTTCCTCTCTTCTCCTTGTTCTAAAACATGCCCCTTGTCTGTCTCTTTGTAGTTCAAGCTGGTCTTGAACTTAGAATCGTTCTGCCTCTGTTCCCTGAGTGCAGGAAATACAAGTATTTGTCATCAGGTCACCTTCTGTTTACTTGGCTTCTTAGACTAAATTATATCCAAAAGTTTTGCCAAACCTTTCCTCCTATATGTGCCCTGGCATCTCTAATAGAAGTAACTAAGACTGGTTCATTAGCCAGGTTAGATAAAGTTCAGAAATGTGATGACTAAAGAATCCTACTTATACAATCTTGGTTTCTGTGTATTGCCTCAAAGACCAGTAAACACCTTCATGAGATGTGTAGACATTAACAGCTTCAGAGAACATTCAGGATTCTCTTCTGTGATAAATGTGTGTCTACTCTAGAGTTCATATTGTCCCCATAGTTCCTTACAATGTAAATGTTTGGCTATTTTTTATCTTATTAAGAAAAAAAAAAAAAGCTTAAGGGAAGATGTTAGTAGGTTATCTTATCTCCAGAACTAGTAAGGATCAGAATGGCTGATCCAGTCACTTACTGCAGACACTCTTGAGATTAGATCAGAACTCCAACAAATTGATGGCCCTTCATTTTACCCATATTTTATAGCCATGTAAGAAACAGGCATTTGGGGCTGGAGAGAAGGCTGAGGTTAAGACAATTGGCTGCTCTTCCAGAGGACTCAGGTTCAATTCCCAGCATCCATGTGGCAGCTCTCCAGTTCCAGCAATCTGACACCCTCAGAGAGAAAAATGTGCACATAAAATAAAAAATATTTTTAAAAACAAGAAACAGGCATTCTAGGAGCTGGAGAGATGGCTCAGTGCTTAAAAGCACTGACTGCTCTTCCAAAGGTCCTGAGTTATTATTACTCCTAGCAACCACATGGCAGCTCACACCCATGTGTGATGGTGTTTGATGCCCTCTTGTGGCATGCAGCCTTATGTACATGTAGACAGAGCACTCATACATAAAATACATTAAAAAAAAAAAAAAAAAAAAAAAAAAAAAAAAACATTCTAGTTAAGAGATGGGGGTCTATAAACAGCTTGGCTTTTGTTTTCTTTTTTAAGATTTGTTATGTATACAGCATTCTGCCAGCCAGAAAAGGCACCAGCTATTGTTATAGGTAATTGTGAGACACCATGTGGTTGCTGGGAATTGAACTCAGGACCTCTGGAAGAGCAGCTAGTGTTAACCTCTGAGCCATCTTTCCAGCCCCAAGAAACAGCTTGATTTTTAGACTGTGACTCCATGTCCTTCTGTGCCTAATCTTCCCTTAGGTGTGGGAACATGCACTGACAACTGCTTCACAGAGCAGCTGTGAAGATTGAGTAGGTAAAAAGTGCACGTAAAACACAACCCAGAACAGAGCAAGTACGTCCTAAATACAAGCTCTTGTTGTGTCTCCAGGAGCCGGAGTTTACTGAAGGAAGAAGACCCTGCTGTGCTCATCTCTGAGGTCCTTAGGAGGAAGTTTGCTCTGAAGGAAGAAGACATCAGTAGGAAAGGAAACTGACAGCACTGACTCTGCAGACTGTCTCATGCTCCTCAACTCCTTCAATAGCTGCCTTCCTCGCTGCAGATGTCTCTGCCTCAGTTAGAAGTCTGCAACAGTCTTGCCAACCAGCTAGGGCTCAGACTGAAAGAGAAGAGCTGGGCTGTGTTACTTGCACTTAAACCTTGACAGAAGCTAAGGTCTGTGGTTTGAGATGAGGCGTTTGTTACAGGTAATCGGGTAGGGTGGAGTGTCTGTTTAAAGAGGTGAAGTTCTTGTTTTTCCTAGTCTGTGTGAAAATCTGCCCTAAATGAATGACTCAGTTCACTGCATTAGACTCCATAATTGGTCTCACTGGACACTTTGTGCACAGCTGTCACTCAGCAGCTTCCTTGCAGCACCACAAGGCTAAGGGGGAGTGGCTGTTGATGTTCACAGGGATGATCTTCTGCTGCTCCATCATAAACCTATACCAGTGCCCAGCAATCACCTTTTCCTGTAGCTAGAGCAGTCAGGCCACTGCACCAGCCAATACCAGGCTGCTGCGGGGAGGCCTGGGCTATTTTTTCTGAAACATATTTTATAAAACTACAACCAGATCTACCCTCCAGGGCCTCATCATCATCAGTTCCACTGAAGTCTAGAAAGAAGTGGGGAGAGAAAAAAGAACATACCATCCTTCTTCTAGGAGAGTAACTGATTTCTCTGGGTTGGGCCAAGATTTTATTTACTGCATCATGCATGACTCAGGTGCCCTCAGGGCCCTTTTCTCTATGGTATGAATACTGCGTGTCTGAATTGAAACACTACCTGACATTAAATGAAGGATTTGGAGAAGTGGTGCATTTTCATTGTTCATCTCTAAGTTTTGACCACAGTAGCCTTTGCGGGAGGCTCCTGTTAAATCATAGGTATATGAGCTTTTTAAACAGTCTCCTAGCTTATTTTCTTACTCTGGGCCCAGTGGTTCTCAACCTGCTTAACACTGTGTCCCTTTAATACAGTTCCTCATGTTGTGATGACCCCAATCATAAAATTATTCTGTTGCTAATGTTGTGACTCATAATGTAAATATCTGGTATGCAGGATACCTGATATGCAATCCCAAAGGGGTTGTGACCCACATGTTGAGAACCACTGCCTTAGGAGAAAATTTCCTGGGGGTAAAGAAATGACCAGAAGTCAAGATCATTGGCTGTTATTCCAGAGAACCAGGTTTGATTCCCAGCACCCAAATGGCTGTTCACAATCATCTGTTCCTCCGATCTGACACACTCTTGGGCCTTATAGGTACCAGGCACACACATGAGGTACACAGGCATATACACTCAGAGCCTCTTATTCTAAGGGGTTTTGTCTTCCTTTCCATAGAAGATTTCACAAAACTCCTAAAAGCAATTCCATATGATAACATAATGTGGTAATGTGGTTTGTACATCCTAGAGGCTATTTAAGCCACAGATGTCAAACAAGTTGATTTGGGGCTAGGTGTTGGTGGTGCCTCTAATCCCAGCAGTCAGGCTGATCTCTGAGTTTGAGGGCAGCATGGTCTGTCTACAAAATGAGTTCGAGGACAGTTAGGGTTGTTACATAGAGAAACCTTGTCTCAAAAAAAAAAAGTTGACTTGGGCTGACAAAATGACTCAGAAGGTTGCAACTCAAAAGGAGAGAGATTCCTGGAAGCTGTCCTCTGGTGTAGCACATACACTTGCACTGGCAGTGCAGGATGCTTGTTTTTGGTTTTTTGAGACAGGGTTTCTCTATAGCTTTGGAGTCTGTCCTGGAACTCACTCTGTAGACAGGCTGTCCTTAAACTCAGAGATCCGCCTGTCTCTGCTCCCCACCCCCCAAGTGCTGGGATTAAAGGTGTCACACCAACACTGCCTAGCCATATCTGTCATAGAGTTTTTTATTGCTGTGAGGAGACACCATGAGCACAGCAACTCATATCTTATAAATAAAAACATTTAATTGAGGTGTTTCACTTACAGTTTCAGAGGTTCGGTCCATTAAGATCATGATGGGGAGAATGGCAGCATGCAGGTATGGTGCTGGAGCTGAGTAGTGCTAAATCTTGTGGGCAACGGGAAGTCGACTCACAATCACACAGAGGAAAACTTGAGAAAAACACTTCATAGCCCGTCCCACAGTAACACATTTCCTAATGGTGCCGCTTCCTTTGGGGGCCATTTTCTTTCAAACCAACATCATATCCTTCTAGCTCAGGCTGGTCAAGTACTAACTTTGAGTTGCCCTTGAATTCATGGAACTCCTGTCTCCTAAGTTGCCATACCCATCTAAAAGCTGTTTTTTTGAATTACCACTAGATCCAGCTTTCTAGACATTAACTTGGATTCATAGTTTTCTAAAGGGGGCCTCCCTCTTTCTCATGGAAGAGTGATAAAAAGTTAGGTTGCTACATAGCTCAGATTTGGGAAGGGGAAGATAAAGCAAACAACTTTTTTTTAAAAAAAAAAAACAAAACTGATTTTATGTGTATGAATATTTTTGCCTGCATGTTTGTGGGTTGGTTCCACATGTGTGCCTGGTGCATGCAGAAGTCATATGGATGCTGGGAACTGAACCTGGGCCATCTACAAGAGTAGCAAATTCTCTTAACATCTGAGCCATCTGTCCAGTTCCAGATAAACAACCTATATGGTTAACCATCATTTTAAAAAACCCCAGTGGTAGTGGTGGTGCACACCTTTAGTCCCAACACTTGGGAGGCAGAGACAGGTGCATCTCTGTGAGTTCAAGGCCAGCCTGGTCTACAGAGAGTTCCAGGGCAGGCCCCAAAGCTACACAAAGAAACCTGTCTCGAAAAAACATCTGCCATTTATTTTTCCTTCCCCCCCCCCCCAACCAGCTCCACACATCTTTTAAAATAGAGTTGGGAATAATGGTCCCAAGCATATGCTTGAGTAGTCATATCTGTAAGAAAGGACAGAGTAGCAACTCTGAACTAAGCAATGGTTTCAGTGATTAGTCCTGTCCCGCTGTCACAGTTCTCATTCATTCATGGAATGTCCCAGTCACCCCCCTGAGGGAAAAGCAGGCCTACCACACACTGCCTGCTTTTTACAGGAGAACAATGTTCCATAGTGACAATTGCTTCATGCCCTGTAGCCTCACCTAAACCCTCCTCTCTACCCAGCCCCACCCTACCTTCCTCCATCTCTGACAAACATTTGGAACTAGTGTCTGATAACCTGATTACCTTCAGAGTCCTGGGTAAAGAGCAGGTTTGGCTGCAGATCTAACAGAGTAGGCCCATCTTGGCACTGAGCCTGAGGGCTGTCAGGAAACTGCCCCAAGCCTTGATTCCTAATGTTGGTTACATCTTGAAAGGGCATTTTAGTGTTGTGGGCTATGACCAGCTGGCCTTGGGAATCTTCCGTGAAAAGCTGACTCCAGGATTCCCTGTCATTCCTTTCACTGTCCCAGGAAAACACAGAAAGAGGACAAGGACTTTCTGTCACCAACAGCGGTTTTTTCCTACTCCAGGATTTGAACCTATAGGTTTGAGGATGTTCAGGAGCCTTCCTGTTTTCCTTGGCAGGCCCCTTTTCCCCCAGTTCAGCTTTGTCCAAGGACTGACAGCATTTATCACCAGATGGTCTGATGTGACTTCCCATGCCTGGACAGTTTGTCTTAGATCCATGAAGCCAGTCCCTTTTCCTCCTGGCCTCTCTTTGGTCCAGCAAACAAGAACTTTCTAAGTACTGAGTAAAGGAAGAAGCCAGGGAGGCTTCACATGATCCAGCGTCCATCATGTCAGGTTGTGGCATTGTAGTCAAAGACGGTGTTTCCAAACTGTGGCAACTGGAAATCTGGGGAGATGGAGGAAAATGTCCAGCTTCCTGGATGTCTGCAGGAGTTGAAGTGGCCAAAGGTGATACCAAGCTATCATACCCCAATTCCTGAACCAAACAATCTAGCTGGGTTCTCTTGCATTCTTTGTTGATCTGATTTTCTTTGAAAGACAAAACGCTTTTCTGGTTATCATTTGCCATTCCTAATGAAATGAAAGATAATTACATTAAAGAACAAACTGCCTGGAGCAGGATTTTGTTGGGTTTTCTGAAACCAGTATTAGCTACTGTAACTACTAAGGCACAGGAGTCCTAGGCTCTTGAAATAACTTCATGGCTAATAGACCTGTTTGCAATCTTGCTTTTCTCTGCCAAATGCTCTAAAACTCCCTACTCAAACACAGGGTGCTTCCAGTGTGCCGCTGCTACCTAATATGTCATGTATGGTTTATAGTCAGTTTGACCATGGCTGTCTTCTCCAAATCAGTTTTTGTTACATGATTTTTAACACAGGGCAAAACAAACTGTTTTTTTTTTTTTTTTTTTTTTTTAAACTGTGGTTCTACTGAACAATGGATCCTGCCACTAGCTAATTACACACTCAAATATTATCCATAAGGAAATACTCTCATGCCAGGTGGTGGTGGTACACACCTTTAATCTCAGCACTCGGGAGGCAGAGGCAGGTGGATCTCTTTGAGTTCAAGGCCGGCCTGAGTTCCGAAGCAACACAGAGAAACTCTCAAAACAAAACAAAAATATTCTCAGAAGATTATTTTGTAAAGACATAAAAAAAAAAAAACATTAACTATCAAAGTCTGGTAATAATAAGAGTAAATGTAGTTTTTCCACAATTCAGACATTTCATAGGAAAGTCAATGAAGATATTAGGATGCTAAATCAACCAGCTAGAAACTGAAAACAACCTAATCTAGCTAGTCCATTTCATGACCTGTGGGATCCTGTTCTCCGGTAAGGATGAATGAAACAACTCCCAGTCCACCTACATTATATCAAGATACAATTTTTAAAAAGTATCATGGTAAATTTACTTTTTTCTTCTCTAACACTGCAGAAACTGTTTAGTGAGAACCCTCAAATTTTCTTAGAATTCAACATAGAGTATATAAAGGGAAAGTTGGGTTTTTAAGGGGTAAGGGGAGCCTTTCCTTGTTAAATAAAAGCATAAGTTTTATTTGGAGGAGGAACAGTGCACATTAAGTTTATACAGATACCAAGAATGGGCCCTCCCAACACACACACACACACACACACACACCCTGGCTCTGTATACACACACACACACACACCCTGGCTCTGTATGCTGTAGCCAGCTCTGAACTCAGGTATGCCCTTCCTCACTGCTCTATCGGTGAATACAAATATTTAAAATTAGACCAAGCAGAACAGAACCAGCAAAGCACATGTATAAAAGCATGTATAATATTACTACTTCTCCAAAGAACATCTACAGTTCATACAGTTCAACACAGAGAAATGAACACAGTGGCTCTGCTTCTCAATAATAAGATGCCCAAGCAGGACACCATACCTGGTTGCAAGGTAACAAAGGATGCAATACTGGTCTGTCGAGTGACTCTTCTTTGAGTAAAAGAAGTATCGGGTTTTCTCTCCCCAGGAAGCAATGTCAGCATTTTGGTGCCTGGTTTGATTAAATGAGTCTGAAGGAGAAAAATAATTGAACCTGTTACTATTAACACCAGTGACTCTTGGAAACATTAGTTCCAACCCCATTCTCTAGGCCCTTTGTACTGGACATCACCTCCCACTACTTCTTGTCATGTTGAGGAACCTTACTTCAGGAATCACATGTTCCAACTAGCCCAGTCTTTCCAATTTTCAACAATGGTCAGAAAGGAGTATTTATCAAAGTTTCCAAAGATGAGGCATTCTTCTTTAGATTCAGAAATAATTAATTCTCACTGGTAAGTGATACATTTTCAATCAAATATTCACTTAGTGGTTCAGAACATGACCACAGAACCATATGGGTTGGGTTCAGATCAGTCTAACACCCTTTATGGTCAAAGTCCTGAAGAAATTTAGACTAGAACATAAAGGCAACAAACTTATAGCCAGCATTGTGTTACCTAGGGGAAAACTCAAAGCATTCACTAAAATCAGGAACAAGTCAAAGATGTCTACTCTTTCTACCCTGAACAAGTCCTAGTCTTAGCTGGAGAATAAGAAAAGCAAAAGGAAAGGGTTACAAATAGGAAACATCAAAGCATCCCTATTTATAAATTATAATATACATAGAGACCTCATATACTACCAGAAAATCTTCAAAATAAACACTTTAACAAGGTAGCAAGATACAGTAGCATACATACATCTGTAGCCTTCCTATATAGCAGTAACAAAGATGCCAAGAAGAAATCACAATCAAAATTACTTCAAAAAAGAATACACTGGAATGAACTTAACCAAATGAGTGAAAGGTCTCTATAATTATAATGGAAACTTGAATAAAACAGAGATCTCCCATGTTCATGACTTGGAAGAATTGATACCATGAAAGTGGTTATCCTACCTTGGTCATTAATACTGTCAACTTGACAGAGTTAAAACTGCTGAGAAGGCAAGCTTCTGGGCACAAGGGAAGGGGTCACTAGGTTGTCTTCTGAGGTGGGAAGACTCCCTCTTAAAGTAGGCAGTGCCATGCAGAAAAAGGAGAAAGCTGGCTGAGCCACCAGCACCCTTTCTCTGCCACCACTAGGATTTCACCACCACAAGGTACTATCCCCCCTCCAACTTGGAGCCAAAAATGAACTCACAGGAAGCTTAACAAAGCAATCTACAGATCCCATGCCATCCCCATCAAAACACCAATATTGTTCTTCACAGAAATAAGAGAAAACAACCTTAAAATTAATTTAGAAGCACTAAAGACCTTGGATAGCCAAAGCAATCCTGGGCAAAAAGAGTAATACAGGAGGTTTTGCCACATCCGATTCCAAGTTATGCTTCAGAACCATAATAATAAACAGCATGGTACTTGCACGAAAACACACATGTAGATCAATAGACCAGAATAAAAGACTTAACATTAACCCATGCAGTACAGCCACAAATCTAGATGCCAAAAAAATACTAACTGGAGGGGATGGAGAGATGGCTCAGAGGTTAAGAGCACTCGCTGTTCTTCCAGAGGTCCTGAGTTCAATTCCTAGCAACCACATGGTGGCTCACAACTATCCATAATGAGATCTGGCACCCTCTTCTGGACTAAAGGCATACATGCAGGCAGACCACTGTATACATAATAAATAAATCTTAAAAAAAAAAAAAAAAAAAAAAAAAAAATACTAACTGGAGCCTCTTAAACAGAAGGTGCTAAGTAAAGCTGTAAAACAATGAAACTAGGCCACAACCAGTTCCAAATGATCAGATTTTAATGTAAGAACGGAAATTGCTAAAGGAAAAAGTGGAGAAAATACTTAAAGGTAGAGACACACAAGGGAACTTTCTGTGTATGACTCCAGTTGTTCAGAGTATAAAACCAATTAACAAGCAGGATCTTCTGAAATTAAAAAGCCTCTGTATAGTAAAGGAAATAGTTAACTGAATGAAGAGACGGTCTACAGAAGAGGAGAAAAAAAAAAAAAACTGCCACCTATATATGAGACAGAGTATTAATATCTATAGCATATCAAGAGCTCCAATGACTAAACAAAAAAATAAACCCAATCAAGAAATGTACTAAGGAGGGGCTACAGAGATGGCTTGGCAGTTAAGAGCACACACTGCTCTTGCAGAGAACTGGAATTTAGTTTCCAGTATCCATATCAGGCAGCTCACAACAGCCTGCAACTCCAGCACCAGGAGAGCCTCTATGGGTATCTGCACTCTTGAGCACATATCCACACAGAGTGTGAGACCAGTGTAGACTTACACATCAAGCTCCAGGACAGCCAGAAATACACAGAAAGACCCTACCTCAAAAATAATAAATTTATAATGTGTGAAGGAACCGAATAGAGTTCTCAAATGGATATAAAAATATTCAATGTCCTTATTCCTTATGAAAATTCAAATTAAAACGACTCTGATACGACTCTGATGAAGCGCACACACTTGATCCCAGCACTCAGGGGGCAGAGGCCAGTTTGATCTACAGAGTGAGTTCCAGGACTACACAGAAAAACCCTGTCTCAAAAAACCCAAAAAATAAACTATTCTGAGATTCCATCTAACACTTGGCAGAGTGGCTAACAAGAACATAAATAAGGGGCTTTTCTTAGCTGGGTTTCTAAGTTGCTGTAATGAAACACCATGACCAAAAAAAAGCAAGTTGGGAAGGAAAGAGTTTATGGCTTCCACTTCCATTGTTGCTCATCACCAAAGGAAGTCAGAACAGGAATTCAAGCAGGGCAGGAACCTGGAAGCAGGAGCTGATGCAGAGGCCAAGGAGGAGTACTGCTTGCTTACAGGCTTGCTCAGCCTACTTTTTAATGGAACCTAGGACCACCAGCCCAGGGATGGCACCACCCACAATGGGCTGGGCCCTGCCCCATCAATCACTAATTAAGAAAATGTCTTACAGCTGGATCTTGAGGTATTTTCTCAATTGAGGCTCCTTCCTCTCTGATAGTACAGGGCAGGAGAGACGGCTCAGCGATTACGAGCACTGGCTACTACTCCTCCAGAAGACCCAGGTCAAACGCTAACAAGTTTCAGGAGATCTGGTGTCCTCTTCTGGCCTCTGAGGGCACACTAGGCATGTACCTGGTACACAAGTCATACATGTAGGCAAAACACCCATACTCATAAACTAAAACTTAAGGGGAAGGAAAATGACAAATGTGGGGGGAAACAGAACCCTTTATTCATTGGTGACAGGAGTGTAACCTGATGCAGCCACAGGGGAGATCAGTGTGGACCTTTTCAAAAAACAAACACAAGCAAAAAAATCCTAAAACTAGCATATGGTACACCTCTTCTACTCCTAGGCATATGCCCCAAGGCAGAGATACTTGTTCGTTCACGTTTATTGCTGCTCTATTCCCAACACCAAGGAGATGGCATCAACCCAGATGTCCATCAACAGAAGAGAACAGATAATGAAAATGTGGTATACATACACAATAGAATTATTCAATCTTAAAGAAAATAAAATTAAGCAATTTTCAGGAAAGTGGATGGAATTGGAAACTTACATTGTGAGGTAACAAAGCCTCACAAATACAAATACTGCTTGCGCTCTCATCAGTTTGGACTCAAGTTCTAATTCATACAAATCCACATCTATGTGGAGGGTATCAAGATGGTATAAATTCCAGGAAAGTAGGAAAGGGCCTATGAGAGGAGAAAAAACAAACTTCAAGAGAAGCAGGAGAGTAAAATGTGTAAGAGTGAAAACCCTGTGGGCAGAAGGGTTTGGACCAGGAAAGAGGTGTAGGAATGAAGATGGTACCAGGAAATAGACACACACATACCTCTTAAGGAAACCTGCTGCTTTGCATGCTGTAAAGTATAAAGTACAAGCCATCAAATAGCACTAACACTTCAAGGCTGGCTTCCCTAGCTTGGAAACACTTTCCAGACCAATGTGTACCCATACTGAGCACTACGGTCTTCGTGAAATAAGTCAACAGGAGACTGGGACTTGGGGAAGCTGAGGTAGGATCTGCAAGTCGAAGATGACTTTCAGATCCACAGTGATCCCATCAGTCTACTGCTCAAGCTACACTTGTATTAGGGAAATGGCCATCAGAAACTGCAGGCTGAATGATTGATCCCAGAGCTCACAGACAACAAAGACAATGGAGCTTCCACAACCCAGGTAAAACAATCATGAGTTTCCATATCATATGCTCTCCTGCTAATGTGATCATCATATTTTTCCATGAAAGAGAGCCCTTATTGCTTCACTTTGAATTGGGGGGAAATTCTATGGCCATCTTGACTAATAACCTAAATCCCCAAACCAGAATGCATGCACTTCTGCCTTGCTCCCTGGAGATGCTCACTCTTGGAACCTAGCCAACACATTTTAAGACACCCACGCTGGCATATGGGGCTTTCAATTTTATGGGAACACACACATCTTAAATATGAGAAATATTGTGAATGATATTTGAGAATCTACATGCAAGATGCTGAAGTGCAAATAAAACAGACTCTGCCCTGGAAAAGTTTACAGCTATGAAGAGAAAACAAGTTGTTAATTAATAGTTACTACATATATGCTAAATCCTATAAAGAAACTATTCAGAAAACCCCACGTTAGAAAAGTGTAAGCCCATAAGCCCTCGATTGGCAACCCTGGCTCAGTGGTGCAGGCCTTTGAATCAGCACTCAGCAGGCAGAAGCAGGCAAAGCTCTGTTGAGTTCAAGGCCAAACTGGTCTACACAGTGAGTTCCAGGCCAGCCAGGGTTACACGGTGTAATAAACACACAAAGCTTTTTGCTAAGTTGGTCATTATTAGTTACTTCTCCAATGCTGTGCTAAAACACCATGACCAAGACAACTTACAGGAATTTGTGTTTACAATTCCAGAGGGTCAAGAGTCTGTCATGGAGAAGTGTGGCAGCAAGCAATAGGCATGGCAGCTGGAGGGATCCCTTCCTGGCTGAGGGATCACATCTTGAACTTCAAACATGAGACAGAGAGCACAAGGCAGAAATGGCACAAGTCTTTAAACTCAAAGCTTGCCTC